CTAACATTTAAGTGTCAACTGTATAATGAATTTAGATTTTAACTAAAAAGTTAAACTGTGGTTGAACTGTGGTATTTTTCATAAATGTCAGGATAGAGTAAGTTTTTAATGTAATTTCCGGTAACACTTTAGATTAGAGAACACATATTCACTATTACCTCTAAATAAACTCCCAATTTGCTGCTTATTGATAGTAAGTAAGGTAGTTGTTGTAGTAGTTATGGGGTCAGGTTAAGGGATCTAGAATATGTGCTTTAAAAGTACTTGTAAACAGCCAATATGCTAGTAATATGCCTGCTAATAAGCAACTAGCTAACAGTGTTACCCAATTTTCTAGGTGCATGTACAGTATAATTGTACTGTTATAATATTAATTTGTACAAAAAAAGAAAGCTAATGTTTATTGTTAATAAATGTTTGAATTTAACATTAACTTCACCAGGGAATTTCCATGATGGATACTTCTGCAAAATGTGAACTGGCACATAGCCTGCACAAGCAGATATTGAGAAATCATGAGCAAACGATGATGATGATGATCTAGTCTTGTGTTTGTCTGGCCCAACCCACTAGTGCTTCCAGAGCTCCTATAAAAAGCCTGGTCTCTCCTGTCTCTCCCTGCCAAAAATCCCTGGTGAAGGCCTAATATGAACATCCTGCTCATCTCGTTGCTGGGGTGCCTTGGTAATTGCCATGTTTGATATTTTTGACATTTTCTTCTTCAGTTCTTCTTAATACTTCTTAATCATTGTGCTCAGCTGGATAATTAACTATTACTGTGTCATTTTCTTTGCAGTTGTGGCACTGCCCTCAGCCAGTGCTCAACAAGTCAAATGGTGTGTGAAGTCACAGAATGAACTGAATAAATGCCAACACCTTGCCACCAAATTACCAGAGCTTAGGTGTCATCTCAAATCTTCTGTAATTGAGTGCATGACAAGCATCAAGGTAATAAAACATGCTTATTATTTTTCCTCACTCACCCTTGGGTGTTTTGTTTAATCAAAGCTGTAACATTTTAATTAAATTGTCTATGATTCACAGACTGGTGATGCCGATGCTATAACTGTAGATGGAGAACATGTTTACCAAGCTGGACTCCTAAATTATGGACTCCGTCCTATTATTGCAGAGAAATCTATAAAAGGTAATATTTTATCACAAGAAAAAAAATATATATATATATGTGTGTGTGTGTGTGTACCTATAGACTAAATGATTGGTATTATTCAATCTAAATAGGAATTTGTAATAGATAAATAAATAGATAATAGATATTTTTGTCATATTGCTAATATGACAGTTAAATTAAAAAATATTACGTAGAATATGTAGTGTAATTCAGATGGGTCTCTTTGACTGGGGTTTTATTAATTGATTTGTCATTCATTATTCAATTATTCAACTAAATTGTCAAAATATATCACAATATTTGTATTTCAGATTAAAGGGGGCATAACACACAGTTTCTGCCAATTTCATGTTAATCTTGAGTACCTATAGAGTAGTATTGCATCCTTCATATCTCCAAATAGTCTTTAGTTTGATCAGATTTGTAAAAGACAGATACAGCTGTACAGCTTCTCTCTGAAAACAGTCGAGCTGCTGGAGTCGAGCTTATGACGTAATACAGGGCCATACTCGGGGGGAAAAAAAAAACTTTCTGAAACTTATATGAACCCTGAAGGAGTGTATTTGGCACAGAAATACTCCTTCATACGCCCAACTTGTTTTTTGAAACTTTGGCCACACTTTAAAAAATGACAGTGAATTTAACGGTAAAAGAGTGTTACCATGATGGTGTTTAGCATTTGTGTGAATGACACTGTGCACCTTCTATATATGTTATTATTTAAAAGCTGCTTGTGATGGGCTTTGGTTCATCATGTGACTTTCTCATCACCACCTGCATTTGGTGGTTATCAGTGTATTACAAAGGCACAAAACAGATTTCAGTATTTCAATAGGTTGGTATATTAACATTATATCAGTTAATGAAATTACGATATTTAACTGTAAATTTAAGTTAAAACCGTAAAACCTAAAACGTTGCTACTGTATTGTTTACGGTAAAATTCCGGCAACCACAGATGCTGGTTTTTTACCGTAAATTTTACGGATTTTTTTTTACAGTGCATGTTTAGCACGAGAATCCAACTCTTTAAGTCAGAATGCATGAAATAGCATTAGACCTCCCCTTTAATGACACTTTTATTTTTCAAATATAAAATTAAATAATAACATCACATTATACCTCTTACCCCAATAGTATGACAAGATTGCCTCTTTTTTATGATTTTCAATTTTGTACTATAACACCTAAATTAGCAAATGTTTCCTTTTTATTTCTCTTAATAATATGTTGGAAGATGCATCATCATTTGGCACATTATGAAATTGTCTCTAAATATCTTTCAGTCAGTCAGTTCTTCTCCTCTTCTTCTTAAGAATGCTGTTATGCTGTGGCTGTGGTCAAGAGTGACGCAAACTTCAACATCAATGATCTCAAAGGAAAGTCTTCATGCCACAGCTGTTATCAAAGGCCTGGAGGCTGGAATATACCCATTGGAAGACTGGTTGCACAAAATAAGATTCCTTGGGATGGTCCTGATGACATGCCTCTGGAGAAGGGTTAGAGTGGCTAGATTATTATTGTGTAAATTATCATCACATGGTTCTCTGGAATATTGATATTCAGTGGTCTGATATTTCCTAATATTGGAAATTATTTTTTAAATATAATTGCAGACACGACTATTTTTAACTTGAATGTGCAAGGCTTCCAATTTGATCTGAAACAGTCCAATATGCTGCTTGCTGCTTGAATATTTATTATCATAATCATGATGACTTTTTACAGCACTTTGTTATTCTTCTAGTTATTAATCTATAACAGTTAATGAATCAGACGTCTTGCACATTTACGGGAAATAGCTTACTTCTGCATTGAAAAATTAGGTGGATATCAGTCCACTCATTTGTGTAACTAAAAAAGATTGCTTTGTCCATTGAACTTTACATTTGCATTTATTAATTTAGCAGACGCTTTTATCCAATATACAAGTGATTCATCATAAAGAGGCAATAAACATGAGAAGTGCTAGTAATACAAAAGTTACAGACCTTGTTTAGAATAGAACAAGCTGAAACAGCACTTTTTTCAGCAGAATGCAATTAATTTTTTTTGTCAGCAGGATGCAGTTCAATTTTTAATTTCTTAGCTAGAGCTTTAATATTATCTTCTGGTAAAATTAAAAAATATTTTAAATTCAAATCAGTATTTTATTTCCAGTTTTTTTTTTTGATGAGTAGCCATGTGACAAGCTGGATGCAATAACAGCTTTCACAATATAAAAACAGGTTTTTAGTTGTGTTTTTTTGTGTGTGTGTGTGTTTTCCAGCTGTGTCACAGTTCTTTTCAAGCAGTTGCATTCCTGGAATATCGAAAGCCCTGTACCCAAATCTGTGTCAAGCTTGCCAGGGTGACTGCAGCTGCTCACAAAATGAAAAATCCTACGGTGATGAAGGAGCCTTCCAGTACGACTCACACTAACACACTGTCAGATTCCATTGTCTTCTCTACATATGAACAACAATATAACTCATGCATTCTCTCCAGGTGCTTGAAAAATGGTCATGGACAAGTTGCCTTTGTTTGTCAGCATGCAATCCCACGTGAGTTATAGCTTTTGCCAAAATCTAAAATATTCCTGACTGACATTAGAATTGTGGCTAGAGGTTATGATTCCATGGTTGCTGATTTACAAGCTTCTTGTCCAATCTGAATTCTTAAGTGAGTGAGAGGCAGAACTACCAGCTTTTGTGCATGGATGGCAGCAGGAAAAACGTTGAGAACTACAAGGACTGCTACCTCGCCAAAGAGCCTGCTCGTGCTGTCATCGGCCGCATGGACGCTGATTCACAGCCGATTATTAAAGCCCTTTCTCAGGTATGCCATGCCACTTTGCTTCATTATTACTGAAAAAATACCCTGTCATTGTTTTAGGAGAAGTGAGTAATATTGAAAGCCATTGAACGCCAACTTTTTTCAACTGTTGTGCTCAACAGGATTCAGATCTTTTCTCTTCTGATGCTTTTGGGGGTAAAGACCTGATGTTCTCAGACTCTGCATCTGGCCTGGTTGAGCTTTCTAAGAGCACAGACTCCTTCCTCTACCTGAAAGAAGATTATTATGAGGCCATTCGTGCCCTTAGAGGTGACATACAATTATGCTAAAAACACATGTGAATGTATACAGTGTCCCTAAAATGTATTAAGACAATTCTGACACAAATAAACATGCCATAATTAACATTTGAATTATTTAGCGTTCATTAAATGCTGGAAATATCTATATTTTATTTAGTATTTTTTTGTGTGAACGTTATGGGTACTGACTGCATACATCCACTAAAAAGTGATTTCTGAGAAATGCTCTAGCTTCATGTGTTTGCAGATGCCGCATTTTAAGTGTAACTTAGGTGTCGAATAACATTCAGGGCCTTGAGTATGTAGTTTTTGACATTTACTTGATTGAAAACATGATTGTATATTGTATGTATAATTTCTTCTCAGCTGGGAACACGCCAGCCCCGTCTCAAGACCGTAAAATTGAATGGTGTACCGTTGGCCATGCAGAGCAACAGAAGTGTGACAATTTACAGATTCCTAGTTTGGAGTGCCGAAGGGCATCATCTGTGGAAGAGTGCATCAAGAAAATCATGGTATTGTTGGGTCACATGGATGGGTGCTAAGGTTGTTAATCATCCACCTGTAGGTTAATTTTCTGTTTGATTTTCTCCTTTAAAAGCGCAAAGAAGCAGATGCCCTTGCAGTTGATGGTGGCCAGGTATATATTGCTGGAAAGTGCGGCCTAGTTCCAGTTATGGTTGAGCAGAATAATCAACGTAAGAATGAGCACTGTCTCATATTTCATAAATCAGTTCCTAAGCCACCTGTTTATCAAAATGTACATGTTTGATGAAACCTAAAATTCTATTCAATCTTTCCATGCAGAAAACTGTGATAAAGGTGGAGGTAAGTACTAGGCACTTCCACGTTTTAACTGTTGTCTATGAAAATTGATCTGCTAATCCTTTTCTTAAATGGACAGTTAATCCAAAAATGAAAATTCTATCACCATTTACTCACCGTTCACTTTTCCAAACATGTATGAGTTTCTTTCTTCTTTTGAACACAAAAGATGATATTTTGAGGAATGTTGGTAACCAAACAGTTGATGGTAGCCATTGACTTCCATAGTATGTATTTTCCATGCTATGGAAGTCAGTGGGGACCAGCAATTGTTTGGTTACCAACATTCTTCAAAATATCATCTTTTGTGCTCAACAGAAGAAAGTAAGTCACAGTAAGTAAATGATGACAGAATTTTCATTTTTGGGTGATATATCCCTGTTCACACCTAGGACAATAATGACATAGTTTTAAAAATTGTTTTAAATTTAAATGAATAGCAGAGTCCACACCACAGCCATAACGATAATGGCACAGAGGAAAGATATAGTTGGAAACTATTTTTTCCAGCTGATGAAAAACATTGACAGCATGTCAGAATCCATCCTATTTTAAAGAGCTTGAGCATTTAAAGACATTATCGTTCATTGGTGTGGGCGCTAATATTGTTATCGTTATAGTTATTGTTCTTTGTGTCAATGGACCGCTAAACTTCATTTCTGTGATGTGCACAGAGGCCGCAAGTTACTATGTCGTGGCCGTGGTGCGTAAGGGCTCAGGTGTAACCTGGAATAGTCTGCAAGGGAGGAAGTCCTGCCACACTGGCCTGAACCGCAATGCTGGTTGGAAGGTTCCAGATTCAGCCATATGCGGCCAAAAACCTGGCTGTACCCTATGTGAGTATTACTAAAAATGCACTCACAATTGGTTAATGAATTTTTTCTATGATCGATCACACAAAGTTGTTGTAATAGCATAAAATAGCACATTTTCTCTTCATTTCTCAGACAATTTCTTCAGTAAAGGCTGCGCTCCTGGTGCTGATCCTCAATCAAACATGTGTGAACTGTGTAAAGGCAGTGGGAAGGCGGTGGGAGATGAGAGCAAGTGCAAAGCCTCTTCTGGAGAAATATATTATGGCTATGATGGGGCTTTCAGGTACTGGATCGTATCCCACACACTGTAATTGAAAGGGAAATGTGCTTTTTAGATTTGTACACTGACTCAACTCTGTAAGCTAAAGAGAGAATATGATCTCACTCCTCTTGTAGGTGTCTTGCAGAAAAAACTGGTGAAGTTGCTTTTATTAAGCACACTATTGTTGGGGATTACACTGAAGGTTAGTGTGGTTTATCGTTAATTAATAAAGCTTCTCACTTTCATAGTGTCACATTTTTAAATATTGTATTTTTCTGATATGGTTCCTTCTCTATATCTATATCTGATTAGGTAAAGGACCAGACTGGGCTAAGGATCTGAAGTCAGGCGATTTTGAACTGATCTGTCCAGAATCACCAGACACATCAGTGAAACACAGTGATTTTGAAAACTGTAACCTTGCCAAAGTGCCAGCTCATGCTGTGATCACCCGGGAAGATGCACGCAACGATGTGGTGAATGTTCTGAAGCAGGCTCAAGTGAGTTCATTAAAGTTCAGTGTAGATTTTCCTGTCATTTTAAGTTTTTTCTTTCACACATTCTGCATTTGATCTATTGCAATGTTGATAGCGCAGGTTGGTCCAGTTCACTCTTTCATTACTTTGTGTTACCAGACCAGGTTCTTAACTTCAATATGGTTCTGCATTTGTCTTAGTTTTGAATCTTCTTCCCTATGTTTCAGGTCAATTCAGACAAGCTGTTCAAGTCAGAGGGTGAAAGAAACCTCCTTTTCTCTGATTCCACTAAATGCCTTCAAGAGAATACCCAACCTTTAAAGGAATTCCTGACACAAAAGTACATTGACATGATTGAAAGGACCTACGTGACTGGCCAGGGTGAACCAGGTATACAGTGTGTCTAAGATTTCCAACAATATCTGATGAATTCTAGGTCAAAAACTAATGGATCTTGTTATAAATGTTAAGTTTTATAGACATGCCTTGTTGCTTTCGACTTACAAAATAGTGTCCGCTTACAATGTAGTGATTTATTCTAATCTTTTTCTTCACAGATCTGGTCAAGGCATGCACTTTGGATTGTTGTATAAAGTTGAGTTCCTAAAAGAAATACACACCAAATTCAGGCCATATGAGCTTTGTCTGGCATGTTTCCCCCAAATAAGAATCTACATTTCTGAATCACTCTATTTCTCCTGATAAGTTACCAGCATGAGGAAAACATGACGTTTGTGTTATGCAGCAGTGTTCATATCTTAATATCAAAATCAAATCTTATGATGATCAAACTGTTCACACTCAGGAACAGTGGCAATGTGATCAAGTTTCTGTTTTATCACCACGGGGGTTTAAATAAAAATGTTTTTTTCTTCTTCTCAAAACCATGTCTGTGTGTCTTTCAGAATTATAGTCTGAGTATTGAATGGCAACAGTATAACCACTATACTATAGATAAAAACATGGTTGAATGTATGCACCCTCTACTGGGGGAGCTGTGCAATTCATATCATGTCAAGCATTATTGTCATTCATGGAGGAAATTCCATTTCTCTTGCAACTTTCAGGCAATAACCACACACACACACACACACACACACACACACACATACACAGAGATCGATTACAAAACTATACGGGTATATTCAAGGGCAGGCTTTAGGATGGCTAGATCCTACCTGTCCTACCGTTACCACGTTGTTTATTTAAACAGGGAATCATCTCAATTAACACCAGTAAAATATGGAGTGCCACAAGAATCTGTCTTAGGCCCTCTGCTATTTTCAGTATACATGTTGCCCCTTGGTAATATTATTAGAAAAGCTGGCATTAGTTTCCATTGTTATGCTGATGATACTCAACTATATATTTCAACAAGACCAGATGGAACTTCTAAATTATCTAAGCTTATAGAGTGTGTTAAAAATGTAAAAGATTGGATGACCAATAATTTTCTCCTATTAATTTCAGATAAGACAGAGATATTACTTATTGGACCTTCAATAAACAAGCTACAGGTAGTCCAAAATGCAGCTGCTAGTGTCCTTCCCAGGTCACTACACTGGCTACCTATTAAGTTCCGTATCAGTTACAAAATATTGCTACTTACTTATAAGGCCCTTACTGGTTTAGCTCCTGCGTACCTAACCAGTCTGCTATCACGCTACAATCCATCACGCTCCCTAAGGTCGCAAAATTCTGGACTTTTGGTAGTACCTAGGATAGCAAAGTCCACTAAAGGAGGCAGAGCATTTTCACATTTGGCTCCCAAACTCTGGAATAGCCTTCCTGATAATGTTTGGGGTTCAGACACACTCACCCTGTTTACATCTAGATTAAAGACACATCTCTTTAGATAAGCATTCACATAATGTATCTCATAACCTGGTACTCCAGCTATATCTGATCAAATGCACATTATTATTCTTTGCTTGGTTTGAACACATTTAATTTTTATTTTTTTTTGCTTGGTTTGAACAGCACCTACGCGTTTTCTCTATTTGCTTCTCTGTTTCTGCCATGGGATAGGAATCCCGAGGTAACTAGGAATTACACATGCTTCAGTCTGGATCCAGCCCTTACGAAGATCTGAGAGGACCTCAGATGATGCCAACCCTGAACCAACATACAAAACTACCAAATTTTCCTATAAGTTTGATCACAACATATACTCATTGCTGTTAATTGTGTTCACGTTTGAATACATGTCATTAACTAATTGCATGATTTTTTTTATTTTTATTTCTGCCATACGGACTTCACCAGATGCACCTGTATATAATGTAGAAAGTTTAATTTTCTGTGAAGCTGCTTTGCAACATTTGTGTTGTGAAAAGAGCTATACATGCACACACAAAAAAAGAAACATGCAGGTTTGTTTGTTCGTTTATTTATGTTTAACTTTGAGTAATTTGGCCCTTCATAATAAAATGTGTAGTTCAACATTATTAATTGTGGTAGTCCTTTTTTTTTTTACCTTTGTGTCACATACAAATTAATAGCACATTACATATTATATTATATGTACAATATATATGTTATATATTGAAAGACTGTGTTTACAAAACTTGCAAAACCAATTATTGTTTTAGCGATCAGAGGTAAGAAGAACCACAAAAGTATCGGCAGATCTAAATAATCAGATGTAGGGGCTGTTCTTTATTTTTCTAATTCTTGCTGTGTTTATGAGCTGTTTTTCAGAATGAATATACTTACATTAATTTGAATTCTTAACACTTAGAAATAGTAATTTAATATAAATTGACCAGAATCTGAAAAATACTTCACCACATGGTATGAAGCAAAACAACACAAGCTTTTCCCCCACGCTGGACACATTTCTGTGAAATATTCAGCTAGTTATTTGGCTCTCAGGTTCAGGCGAAAGTAGGCTAACAGTTCACATTTCAGGCATTTGTCATACTTCATGTCGTTTCTAATGTATATTTATTGTAGGGCTGTCAATCGATTACAATTTTTTATCTAATTAATTACAGGGTGCTGAAACTAAATTTGGCTGTGAAAATACCCCCAAAAGATAATTTAAAGCTATTATCGTGTTAAATGTTTAGGCTACAATGGCCTAACATAAAGTATGGAACATAAAATAAGATAATTTGAGAAACATCTCAGTATTTTTTGTTCATGCAATGAAAGTCACTAGTGACCAAAACAGCTTAGTTACCAACAGTATTCAAAATACCTTCTTTTATGTAGTGCAAAAGAAAGTAAGTCATTCAGGTTTGAAAAAAACATGAGGGTGAGTAAATGATGACGTAATTTATTTATTTATTTATTTTTGGTGAACTATCCCTTTAATGTTTTTATTTATTTATTTATTAATAAATGAAATGATACGCTAAAGAAGAACCTAAAACTACCAGCAGGTGGCGGTAAATGTCTTAATGAGTCGATTCGTTCAAACGGCTGATTCATTCAGGAATGAAGTAAACGGCTCACTTTATGAATGGGTTTTTGAATCATTGGTTCACACGATTCGTTCAAAACGCGGATTCATTCAGAAACTAAACAATGCTGTGTTGCTCAGAGACGCACAACAGTTCTGCTGTGGCTTTTTAGGTAATATTTTTGTTGGCAAAACTGAACAAAAACACACAATATTGTGTTTAACATATAGCACAATATTAACTTCTTATTTACTGAACTGTTGTATGAAATCACATTTGCACTGGTGTTCTTCTTGACAAAAACTGGTGATATTGCTCTAGTTGCTGGTGTGATATCATTTATCATATGATATAAATATGAGACAAATACTCACACAGGGGCATTTTTGCCCCAATATCTTGAATTTTAGGGCAGAACTGCATTTATGGAGTTGTTGCCCTGCATCATATTTGTCAATAGTCACCTGTATGGACTGTAAGATGACGTACAGGTTTGGGGGCGGGGCCAGTGCGTTAACTGCGTTAAAATATTTTAATCGCGTTATTTTTTCATAACTAATTAATTAAGTTAAGGCGTTAAACTGACAGCCCTAATTTATTGTATTAATTGAAACATTTCATGATGCATTTCATCGGATCATCATATTTTGTTCGGTTCATTCCTCCATATTTTTATAGCTACGCCTCAGGTCAGCTATGAAGGCCCATGGAGTGCCATGGGGGGATCTGCTCCCCTCTCATGTGGTCATTGCTTGGTTTAACACTTTTCCTTCCAGACACTTGATTGGGCTGACATCTGTGGTTCTTTATCAAAAATCACTGGCTACTCCATACCAGTGAACACTTTGGTGTTATTACTGAATGACGACTCCATGTTGACGCTCTCTAATTGAACATAAAAATGTTTAACTTGCTGGTTTACATCTGCTAAAAAAAATGCTAGCGCAAAACTGGCTCCCATTTCACATGTTGAATATTTAGAAGTGGCTGATGCAGCTTTGAGACATTATAATGCTATAGTCATTCACGGCACAGGTGAATTTTGCACAAACTTCTACATTGAAGACCAGGGGCCAGTTGCATAAACAGCCACTGTGTTAAGACTGTGTCTTAAGAACTAGTTTGACCAACTAGTAGCTAGTCAAGAGGTAATCAGACTTACTTTTTGGATTCAAATTAGACCATTCTACCTTTTTATAACTGACTTTAAGAAGTTAAAAAAAATTAATTAGATGACTAACTTTTTAAGACTAGTCTAAGTGGTTTATGCAACCGGCCCCAGGACTATTGCAGCTGGGGAGATTTCTAAGTACATAACACAAATCAAAGACCTGGACTCAGAGTGAACACATCTGACTTCTCTGTTCTCCCCCAACTCTGTGTGTATTTGACATATAAGTCTGACATGCCATAACACGTGATAATTTGTGTGTGTGGTGTTTTTTTTTTTTTTACCAGCTGCCTAATATGTGCCCTGTTGAACAGAGATTGCAGATTTAAGTGGGGTGGGCGAGGGATACAAATAATTTTGTCTGCTTAACATTTTATTCTGTTTTTCATGTAATTTCATGTCATTTTACTTAAATGAACAATGGCCTATTGAATATCGTTTATTGTATATGTAGTATTTCGTGAAATAAATAAATGAGTAGATAGATAGATAGATAGATAGATAGATTCAGTGCCGTATTGATTTATGCTCACGGTTCGTTTTACTGTATTCCGTGCTTTAATTTTAATTAAATGCGTGTGCATTACATTTTTTTTTCTGCATGCAAAGCTTTATAATTCAACGTTCATAATCTGAAGTCTGTGTAAGTGGAGGAGACTTTTATTATTGCTCCTTATTTCTACACTTGGCAAATGACCCTGTCACACGAGCTACGTGCGCGTGAACACACGGTTACCGCGCGGATTAATAACGCACGCACACACAAGCTCTAAACGCGCGGCAGGGGGGTCCTGAAGGAGAAGGGACAGGCAGAGCAGAGAACAAAAGATCAGTGTCAGTCAACAACTTTTCAGTCTTACCTGTGAAAAGTAATTCCCCGAGACCTATTTTCAATTGTGCGGCGGTTTGTACAGCCCCAAGCAGCACACGACTGAGGCATTTTCTCGAGTCCACTTATGAGAATGATGGGAAAGATGCCGCACCAAGATGGCGGCGACGTTGACGTACGATCCAGCGGCCAATGAGGAGTCTAGGTATTTATATGTCTATGGTCACACCCCGCTCAGGTTGATTAACCCGGAAGTACCCACGCGGCTCACAGAGCACTCCGTCCGGTTCTGCGGGCTCAAGGGGAGAAACGCCGAAGCACCATGGCTCTGTTCTAATCGCGTTTATTAAGAGAAGTGTGATCAACTTACCGGCAATCCATCACCATCCGCGCCTTAAACATGGACCTCCAGTCAAGAGGCTTGTCCTGGGGGCATCAACTTTGT